CGAGGCGCCAGACGGCCCCCAGGGCACGAGGGCATCGGCTCGGCCGCCTGGCCCTGGGCTCCCGCTCCGTCCCCTGGCACTGTCTGTCCGTCCGTCAGAGCCGTCTGTCCGTGGGGCTGGGCTGAACCGGACGCTGACCCAAGGGCCATGGGGAGAGCAGAGCCTGAGCCCCGGCTCGGAGCAGGGCCGGTCTGGCCAGAGCACAGAGCCGGGGAGAGCAGAATCCCACTCCGGCCGCCCCGAGCGGCGCCTTCTCAATCTGGGGGGAACCGACCGTCTGGGTAACAGTGTCAGCTCCGAGCTCTGATCCCAGAGGGGAGTTTCCCCACGCACTGCCCGCTGTGTCCCCGGCGCCCGTGAGCGGCAGGACGCCCACCGAACCTTCGGCCACTCGGCCTCCACGGCCCAGGGCTCCATCCTCTCGCTCCTGAGCATGCGGCGCCCTGGCCGGCCTCCCTCCACCCCTGCCCCTCTGCCAGGCAAGCCCAGCCAGGCGTCCCAGCCGAGAGGATGGGCCTGGCCGTGGAGGCGAGGTGGACCGAAGGTTCGGCTGGGCGTCCTGCCGCTCACGGGGCGCCGGGAAGCAGCGGGCAGTGCGTGCGGAAACTCCCTCTGGATCAGAGCTCGGAGCTGACACCGTCACCCAGACGGTCGTTCCCCCAGATTGAGAAGAGCGCGCTCGGGCGGCCGCAGTGGGATTCTGCTCTCCCCGGCTCTGTGCTCCTGCCAGACCGCCTGCTCTGAGCGGGGGCTCAGGCTCTGCTCTCCCATGGCCCTTGGATCAGCGTCGGTTTCAGCCCAGCCCCACGGACAGACGGCTCTGACGGACGGACAGACAGTGCCAGGACGCGAGCGGAGCCCAGGGCCAGGCGGCCAGCCGATGCCCTCGTGCCTGGGGGGCGCCTGGCGCCTCGGCAGCACGAAGGCTCAAAAGCTCAGCGGAGGCCGGGCGCTGTGGCTCACGCCCGTAATCCTAGCACTCTGTGAGGCCAAGGCCGGTGGATTGCTCAAGGTCAGGAGTTGGAAACCAGCCTGAGCAAGGAGACCCCGTCTCTACTATAAACGAGAAATTAATTGGATCAACTAATACATATAGAAAAATTAGCCGGCATGGTGGCGCATGCCTGGTAGTCCCAGCTACTCAGGGGCTGAGGCAGCAGGATCGCTTGAGCCAGGAGTCTGAGGTTGCTGTGAGCTAGGCTGACGCCACGGCACTCACTTAGCCTGGGCAACAAAGCGAGATATCTGTCTCAAAAAAAAAAAAAAAAAAAAAAAAAGCCAGCCGGGTGGCCTCGGGGCGACTCCCCACCCAGAGCCTCGGGGAGAACCACGGCGCCTGCCCATCGTCCCTGGGAGTTTTAGGTGGTTTTATTGTCACGTGTGTGCATTTGCATCCAGAAAACACAGAACGAAAGTATAACAATGACAAACGTGATCAGAGCCACTGTTCCACAGGCGGAGCCGTGACTTGGGGCTGTCTGGAGTCCCCGGCGGGGGACAAGGTGGCCGCCCAACGGCAGCCCTGCCCCCGGTCTCCCCGCATCGGCTGGCAGAGGCCGACCCACTGGTGGACACAACGCCACTTAGAAGGGTAAGGTGAGGAGCGCCGGCTGCGGCGCACTGACCCACCTGCCGAAGCCACTCAAGGTGTTCCGGTCACATCGAACTTGTCGGGGACAAGGCGCCCTCGAGGGTCATCTTGGGGAGCAAAAGAGAAGGGTCACTCAACCTCTTGGACCCGCCGACCGGCAGCCGATCCTCTCCCTCCAGCGCCCCAGCATCGTTGCGGGCCAGTCGCCGTAAAAGAGTGGACGACTTAACTGGGCCTGGCTGCAGTGTGGGAGCCACCTGGGCTCTGCCGGGGCCCAGGAGGAGGGCCCAGCCTGGAGGCAGGGCAGTGCAGCCGCCCAACGCGCCCGGACGTCTCACCCTGGAGGCGCAGCGTCCAACCCTGCGGGGCCAAGCGACAGGCCCAGGCGCCAGGAGGACGCTCGGGCCGGGCCTCTGCCCTCCGAGGAGTGAGGCTGCAGCCCGCCAGGGCCGTCCTCCCGCCCGCGCCCAGGTCCTCCTGCTGTGCTGGCGCCCACGATTCCACCTGCAGCCACGCCCCACCGCCCGCCGCTCAGCTGAGACTGCTCCATGAACACAATAGGCGTTCCCGCTGTGTTGAAGCCAGGGTGTCGGGCGTGATGCACAGGTCTGGGAAGTGGCCGCGTGTGCCACGCCTGCGCATCAGGACAGGCTGCACTCCCAGGCACACGGCCCAGGCCATCCTGCTCGCTGAGGCCGCTGTCGCAGGAATGTCGCCAGGGACCGTTCTCCTGCCAAGGACAGGCCCAGCCGTGAGCCCAGCTCCTCCTGGCCAGGCCCCGACCCCGGGCTGAGATCCGGAGATGCGGATCCTTCCGTGGGTGTCGGGAAAGGGTTGGAGCAAGGTTTCCTTGTCCACCCCGTTCTCTGGCGTCAGAGCCGGGGACATCTGGAACGGTTAGCGTCGCTTCCCCAGAGCAGGTGTTGCTCACGGCGCCTGGACCATGGCCTCCCCCGGAAGCTCGCTGAGACGCAGGGGACCGTGCCCGGCTTGGACCACCTGCTACGCTGGGCCACCCCTGGACCCCACAGGCCGTGGCCAGTGGGTACGTGGGTCGTGGGCGCCCCAGAAGAGCCGGGTGCTATGGCCCTGTGGGGTGGAGTTGGCACCTACAGGACGCGCTCCGTGCCAGGGCGCTGATGTGGTGTATCTCTCTT